AGCGCCCTATATACATCTGATGCGTACGAACTCCAGTTTCACGTATGTGATGAACAATGCTAAAGAAGGGAAAATAGAAAGACAACTTTGAAGTCGTTCGAGCAGCGATACACTCCGGATTCATACAATCGTAATTAATTTGCGTCGATCATAATCGCCGTCTCACAATCGCTCAGTGATAGATGGTGCTCACTGACGAATATCGCATCTTCGCGCGAACTTAATAAATAATGGGATTGCGGTGTATGTTCTGACCAATGAGCAAAAGGGACGCGACTTACGTCGCGGAAAATGCCGTATTGATCGCCGAGTGGACCAATCTGGCGCAAACTTTGACCGCGACTACGTGGCGCTGTATTTGAAAGCGAATCCTGTTAAAAATCAGAAAAATTATTTAAAAAAATAACAATAAGAATTATAATGTCAAATTATACCCAATTTGAGTTATTTTTTATTACTTCTGTAGGTGGAGTATAGTTGACATATCTGATCAATAAATATAAAAAAAAAACCAGGTCGCCCGCACAAAAGATGGAAACAGTTGATCATCTGCGTCCCAAGAGGGTAACCGAATTGGGTAAAATGAACCTAAAGACTTTCGATAAGAAGAAAAAGAAATAAAAAAAAATGGAACGCATATACAGTAAAAATATATTTCTTTCTAAATAAATCCAAAGATTAAGATTTTACTAACTGAACATTATAACTATTTTTGAATATTATAACTATTTTTGATTTATTAAATTACGACTGGAAACTAATGATAACTATTGACACTTAATCATATTTTTTCATAAAGATCGCTACTGCTCCTACTTAATATGTAGTTAATTTAAAACAATGAAGTCAATTCAACTTATTAAAATGTTACTTAAATTTGACTCAAATTCAGTATTATTTACTAAGCAATACTAAAATCACTTTTTTATATTAAATATACAGAATATTGAAAAAATACATGAATTTAAACAAATCATTCTAACGATATAATAATATTAAAATAACTTTTTACTAACCGAAAATAAAGATAGGAGATCACCATATTGGCATTTTCAGTAGTTCGAGTGAAATACCATCGGCGGTTCTGGTATTAAGAGTCATTCAGATTCCATTCAGCTTTATCTTGCGCACATAAGGCGGATTTGATTTCAGCAGCCACGTAAAAGCCAAAATTGTAACGTCAGAAAACTCCCGTAAACTCGACTCCATCGTTGCGTAATCTTTCCTTTATAACGTAAAAATCTACGAACAACTAGTAAAAAAAATGTATTTAACGCTACATAAAAGATGCATAATTTTCACATTGTCCATTCGCATTGGAAAATGGAACACGTGATATGAAAGCAAGAGCATAAACTGAAGCATACACAATGTATAGTTACCGTGACTGTTCGTATAATTCCACATGGGATTCTCGATAAATCTCTTTCCGGGAATCGTGTTCCGACATGTGACTTCTAATGGCAGAAACTTCTGATGGCCGAAGTGCGCCATCGGGCAACCGGTCGACTACCATTCCTTCAACATTGCCAGAGTTTCGTATATCCATCACGTGACTGCATATGGGATGATGTCGAGAATTTTTTTTTTCCTTTTCGATAAAACGCCAATACGAGCGACTTGGAGCAAATAGTCAAAATGTCGCGAAGAAATTACTACGGTGATGCAATAATGCCCATATCTCTCTAAAATTAAAATTCGATCCAAATATATTAAAATCAATGGACTCTTATTCTTCAATTAGAACGATTTTAATAAGTAACATACATAACTATTTGCATTTTGGAAAACAACAAAGCCGAATAAATGGAAGAGGCTGACCTCTTTTTGGCCGTTGTATTAAACGCTTGCTTTATCTGCAATGCGTAATTAATGCGCTATTCGCTTATAATTACGAAGTTATTGTATATGTACGAATTAATATGTACGAATAAATATGTGACGATGTCGAAGTCATTGTGAACAGTATAAATGTAGTTCGTTCGATGCAAATTTATAGTGCGCTACTTTTGACTGCGCAGCGCGGTATGATACTACTGCCAGTGCATGTCTGACTATATACATGCAACAACTACTGCCGGCGTTTTTATTACTACGCATCAGACAATGATTGTTCCGTTATTTACTACTAAAAATCTATAGTGTATATAACGTATACTATTGGATTTTCAGTATTAGCAGCGAATATCAGAACCAATATCTAAAGCTCGATCTACATAAGACGCAGAACGCGGGTCGCAAGGCTCGCAAAACTAGAAACTAATCTAATGTATTTTAATTATAATATGGTTGTAGGACGCAAAACGCAAGACGCAGAAAGTCGGATGAACTTCAACTTTCGCGTCCTGCGTCTTGCGTCCTACGTATTATGGTCTGCGACTTATTATAATCTGAAATAAGTTTCACCTGCGACCTGCGTCCTGCGTCTTATATAGATCGGGGGGCTTAATGCAGGAGAGTTATTAATCAACACTTATTACTTGCTACCTGCAGGATAAGATAAAGAAAAATATAAGATGTTTTGTCTTATAAAAAATGACTTCTGTCTATGAAAAATGAAAAGAAGCGAAAATTGATTACAGCAATTATTTACATGCAAAATATTCTTTTAAAGTAAAATAGCAGATGTTGAAAGTATAAAAAAAATGTACATATATTGCAAAAAACGCAATGTATTTTAATCTATTATTTCGTCGCACATTTATATATTCAGTCATTAATTTATCTGTCGAATAAATGTTTCTTTTATTTGTAAAACGTCTAATCAGATCTTCGTATCACGAATAAGTAAGAAATTAAGACATATCTGTGATATACGTTTGCACGACATAATATATAAAATAATAATACAGAGCATGTACAGAAGAATCTTTTACATCACTTATTTGTACAGAATTCATTACAATATTACATCGCTTAGCAATTACACTTACTATAAGAATAATCTACTCGTTAACTATGTTATACAATAATTAATAAATTTCTTAGAAATGTTTAGGTATAGATATTAAAGATATAGCTAAAAACTTGTGCAATTAACATTATCTTATACAATTATCTCATACACACAGTCATAAAAAATTTGGCACATATTGATTACATAGAAAATGTATATAATAATAAAATGATATAATTAACTATTTTGTTACATGAAAATAAAACATAACATGCTAAAAATATAAATAAAATCTAAAAAAATTTAAAACTTAATTTTTTTTTTATAACTTATAACTGATTCGTTTCTCATAATACAGACAAGATTAATCACTTGTCGCATCAATTTGTTTGCACCTGAGATAGAATTTTGAAAGTTTAATGCGTTAAGAAAAGAAAATTTTACTTAAAAAATATTGGTCATTTACTATTTATATACATATTCCATGTAACATTCCATGAAATATAACTTTATTATAAATATCAATATGATAAACTTTATTCTATGCAGTCTATAAAACGCGTCGTATTTATTTATACTGTTATTATTTACTTATTATAAACAAACAGACTGTATTTAAAATTTATCAAATTTTATATGTAATTTTAAAATAATCTGAAAAAATTATTATAAAATTAATTTAAAACTCTTGTATGTAAAAAATAATCTGTTGCACATAAAATTAATTTTTTGCATAATTGTTTCCTAATATATAATCAATTATGATATATACAAAATTATTATAATAAATGTATTTTTTTATATGCTAAACATAAATTTAAATAGACACCCCAGATAACACAAAGTATCTAAAAAAGAGATATAAGACGTCTTATATCTCAATGTGTTGTCTGGGATATTTTTATATTTTATATGTAATATTCTGGAAATAAAAAATAGTTAAGTATGTACAATTTATATATTATGAGTTATTAGATTGTATAAACAAATATCGAAATATCTATATATGTGATGTTTCTGTCAATTTTAAAGCAATCGATTATTAAGATTCTTAAAATTTTTTTAAAAAGAAATATAAAGTTTCGTTCAAATGTACAAGTGTACAAGTGGCCTTCGTATACAATATATTTTTAATAAAAATTAACATTTATCAATAGAAAAATCAATGTAAAGTTTTAGAACAAATTGTTTTATATTGTTTTATGTATTTATTCCTTCCAGCCTTTATGAAATTTAATTATCAAATTTAATTTAATAAACATAAATTATTATTTACATAATAATAAATAATCATTACTGGACATAAATACATAAAATATAATTTTGTTCATTTATTTAAAAATTATATCATTTTTTAATTATTTATCTTAGATATGTACATGTAATTAATTATTTATCTTAGGTATGTACATTATTATAAGTCTAATAGGCAGTAATTTATTAATACACTATCGCGATATAGCGTATTAAAGTAAATTATATTTTAGTGCACTTATAGAATATAATATGTGTAATAAATTATTATATTAATATATAGTACACTAATATTAATATATAGTACACTAATATTAATATATTTACAAAATAAACATTCTTTTAAAATATTAAATATTTTGTTGCTAAATATCAAATATTTAAAGAAACTTAAAGCTAGAAAGAATTATTTATAATTACATATTCACTTCATTTAATATTACTCATAGAATTATTTCGATCATTTGTAATCATCGTCTATTATTAAATGTTTTATAAAAACTAAAAAAAATATTAGTAACATTTAATATTTGTCTACTTCTTGAAGTGAATTTAACACAATTTAATAACATTTTGACTTATTATAATTAAACTCTTACTGTACCTTATGTTTTCTATATGTGTTCTGTGAAATATTCGACATAATAATTCTTAAGTGACCTGCATAAAATTATATCAAAATCGTACAAATCCTATTCTACGATATTTACACAAAAATTTTAATGTATCTCCTTTTCATATAAACTTGAAACATTTTTGCTTATCATGTGGTATTCGTGTCTTAAATAATATCGAATCAGCTCGATACTGTGTATTCAATAGAGGCATATAGCCGAAAACCTGAAATCATTAATTGTACTGAATAAAATTAACGAATTTACTTAAACGATAATAATAATTTAGAGTACTTAAATGTAATAAAAAAATGTAAAAATAATTAACGATAGATCTTTTTACCTGTGAAAAGAAATTGATACATTTATGTCTTTCTTGAAAATGAGTATCGTCTTCTGAAAGTGAAACTGGACAACCAGGACATCTAAATGTCCAACGTGACGTTACCTAATAAACAAACAAATATTTTAATGTCATCGCATCATATATATTCACATAAATTTTCCAAGTTTAATTGTATGATTAAAATGTAAACAGAAATATTATATTACAAAATGTTTAAGTTTGTATTAGGTGTTGGAATTAATTCGTAGCGTTTTTTAATGAAAGAATGTTATTTATTTCACATGAGCATTAAAAAATACATTAATGAAAGTACTTCCCATCACTTGTAAAACGCTACGAATTAATTCCAACACCTAATAATATATAATTGCAGAATTTTTATAAAATCTGAATTAAAAAATTAAAAAGTTTTGATTTATAATATTAATAAGAGTAATGAATATCTTCTCTTTAAAATATATGTATAATGTCTTACTTTAACTGGTGGTTTCCTTGTAAGATGAGATATTAAAAAATTCATTGCAATGTCCTCACAATTCATATATTCGTCAACTTTATCTCTTATTGCTTGTGGTAACCAATGTGTGTACAGATATGTATAATGTTTATGAATGAAAGCAGCCCCAGTTAAAACCATGGATAGCTCGCAAGAGTAATTAGAATTGTAATTCCAAGCGTTGTGATAATTCTGGTCCCATGCATGAAATCGACCAGGGAATCCAACTACACGATCTCGATGTTCCCTCCACACTCTAAATATGTACATTAATAAATAACAAAAGTATATTCGAATAAAAAGACTGAAAAATTGGCTTACCTAAAACCAAACATGATTTCATCATGTCTCAAATGAGCATCATCATCAATAGAAAGGACGGCTTCTGTCTCAATTGCATCAAATGGCAGGAATCTATTATTCAAACTATTTCTTGGAGCTTTTATAACCTGTTCAAATATATTTGAAAAATATATTTTAATGTGTAATCTTTAAAAATAAATAAATCTTTAAAAATAAATACTATAAATAATAAATTAAAATTACATGTATAGGAACGCCGATATCAGGCCATTTGAGATCTTCTACAGGAGGTTTTGGACTATTCCATACTACAAGTACCTTATTTAAATAAGGCAAACCATAAAGACGCGCCAGTGAATTTATAAGAACTTGTTCTCTTTCATAAGTTAACATGACAATTGTAAATTGTTCTCTTGGATAATTTCCTCCTAATGATTCACTAAATTCTTTTCCAGCACCTCCAGCACCTTTACCGATAGGTCGAAAGCCAACTTCTGAACCTATAAAAAAATAAAAAAAGCAATATAAATATAACATATAACTTTCGTAGAATAATTTCTAAAATAATGATTTTACCAAGAAATTTAGCATCACTGGGAAGAACAGTATCAAAAGGTAATTGTGGATACAAATTAAATGGATCCATCCAATCATTCCAAATTTCATGATTTTGAATTAATAGTGTTGTATAATTTCTCTTGAAAGCAGGAGATGGATACGGCGGTTCTAAAGGACCTAAACTTTCTTCAGCTTCAGGTTCAGTAATAATGGCATCTGATTTTAAAGGCTTCAAAATAAAAAATAATGTAGATTATAAAATTAAATATGTTTTTCATGTTAAAATATATAAATACATACTTTAATAAGAAAAACGTGTCACATTAAAATACGTACCACAAAGCTTTCGTTAAAAACACTAGGACTGGATGTTTGAGACGCTGGTAGTGGAGGTATACCAAGTCTGTCTCTTATTACTGCTATAGTCGTATCTACTACACCTTGAGCAGTACTCATATAACGTTCCCATATTAATCTACCTTGTCTTCGAATAGTCAAAAGATCGTTGTCAGGAACAGCGCGCAGTAAAAAGTGCATTTCAGTCACTCTAGCCTAAATAATTACATAATTCTACTAATTTCATTTTAATAATTAAAAAACAAATTTGGTAATAAATTACTATAAAAATTACTTTAGGTAGGAAAATAACTGCTCTCCTCCAATCAACAACTTCGTTATAATTAAGCAAAATCTGATCACCACCAAGAATGACTGGTATTGATCCAGCTCGCAATGCTTCGTACAATCTCGCTTGCATAAATGAAGTAGTCAATAATGTAGCATTGCTAGGAGCTAAGATCAATGCAAATGTTGATTCCTTTAATATAGCTCTTCTGGATGAATCAGTTCCGCAAAGAGACCAATCAAGAGTTTCCACAGGCTTACTCTCCATAGAAGCTGGTATACATTCAAATTGAATAAAAAATTTATCTAAAGTTATTCCGTTGCTCATATCTTTTAAATGTTGAATAATAAATGCATCTATATTGTTATCATCAATTATCAGTTTTTCCAGATCTATATCTGCGTCATCAATTTGATATGTCATCGGTGTGCCCATAAAAGTCCTCATTTCTCCTTGGAATGACAGCAAATATTTCCTTCTTGCAGGTAACATTTGCGCGCATTCTTGCCAAACATCTCCACCAGGTGGTCCCAGAATTGGTGGAACAATTAAATCGAAATCATCGCGAAATTGATTTCTATAAAATGTTGACTGTACTACTATTGCTCTGCCAGTATCTAGATTACTAAAAATATTTCCAGAATCTGCAGATAAATCTCTACGTGCAAGATTTAATAATATGTGATTTCTACCGTCTCCACCCCAATAGGGAAGTGCTTGTAATTTCTTTATATCTAAAGCTTTATTATGACGTTGATCACTCTTTTGATGGAGGCTTAATGCTTCACCAATTAAGACTATGTAAATACATGCTTCTGCTGGATTTCTAGTAAGATGTGGATTATATCCTACAATCAATTTTTTCTATATAACAAGTTTTATCACAGATAAATACTTCATAACGCAAAAGATGTTTTTAAATACAATTCTGTTTACTTAATGTAATAAAGAGTTTATCTATATCCTAAATACATACCTAGCGTTTGTTTAATAGTTGTTTTTAAGAAACCATCTACATCCCATCCTGGATTAACTACCGAAAATTGATCTGGATCATACAAATATACAGGAAAACCACTTGTCAGTGCACATCGACTATGATCGAAACAATTATACATTCTACATGATCGTGGATCTGTGCTAGGTAATATAATTGGCAGAGTGTTAATCAATATTCTCTTAGGTGGTGCTAATTCAGGCGTGTTTCTTTCCACTGCTTCTTTCTGTGCCACCTGTGCTTGCTCCACACTTATTTTTAATCTATCAAGATCCGTTTGCTGATGCAGTAACTCTTGCTTCAGCTCATCTATCTTTTGTGTCAAACTATTAACTTCACTCTGAAGTCTTTGCCTCTTTGCGCTCAGGTCTCTCAATTCATTGCTCACTGAAATTTTTATACGAAACATTTCCTCTATTCTCATCTTCAGCTGTGATGCTTTCATGGATGTGAAATCCTCAAAAGCCTCCAAGGTTGAGAATGTTCTATACATATCCCTATCTGGAGCATCTGATTCTACCTGAAAATCAAAGTTAATGTAATACATTCTGAAACAAATAATTTTTAAAAGCTAAACTTTCTTCTTTAATTGTACCTTAGATAAATAGTAATGCGTAAATAATGGCACAATAAATAAGACTATAGATGTCAAAATAATTATTCTTGACAATTTAATGTGTGTCAACCATTGGCACATCTCCCTCCCTGATCCACTGTGGTAGAACGGAAGTGCCTCATAAGTATTTCCCACCATGATTATATGGAATTGCTAAGTATTTTCATCTGTCTAATAAATCCTGGATACTTTCATCTAGCATTTTCTTGGATTTCTGCAAGTAATATGTTACACAGATATTAGAGTAATTTCATGAGTTTTTACTTCATTTTGCATGTCACAAAAACAGCTTTTCATCCATAATTTCTCATAATTTAGTTTAATTTAAAGGACGAAGGGTACGCAAACACATTATTGATACTAATACCTGTCCACGTTAGAAACCGACGTAGAAATTAAACCTGGAGATGACTTTATCAGATCATATCATCGTGCTGTCAATAACCTACGCAACCTCATGGTCTCCTCCGTTTCCCTACTATCCGGATCGAAAAAAATCACGAGCCGGAGTGACGAGCCACGAGGACTTTTGACAGAGTCACATTCTACGTTGCCTGCGGTTGCATCGAGGACATTGAGGTTAGTCCCGAGATGCGTCTCACTCGCGTACGTCGTCTATCTGATTTCTCCGTTCTCGTAAGACCCAGCGGAATGCAACGTATACTACCGATCCACCCATTGCTCCCAAGATCGCATGCCGAAAATGTGAAATAGCGTGGCGAATCGTGAGCAGCTGTTCGGGAATTATCAGAGTTGATCAGAGTTATTCACGTCAACCTAGTTTTCGAGATTCGGAGACTCGACGATCTCTTCTGATTTCTCCTTAATTCCTCCAGTCATGTTCAGTCGCATTTGATGTCGCGTCAATCAAGTTCGAACGGCCCGCTCGTCGTCGCCTCCAGTCGTCTCGTATCCTGGTTTACTTCAGCGACGTTTGGTGGCACATCGCGATTCGCGACGACACGTTGCGCATCCGCGTGATGTATTCGCGTCTCTCGAGGTCTTCGTCGAACATGCGCATGTTCATGCAATGTCCATGTCAAGCGTAGTGCGAGGGGAATAATATTTTGGCTTTCGGGGGCCTAAAATTAGCCGGAAAATGGTAAGCGTTCGAGAAAAATGTGATTGTATGCCGACAAGATCATGCTTGTGTCGCGTTATTCGACTAATCGGTCTGTCTTCTCGTCCTGGAGTTTTGAACCTTCGTTTTTGAGTTTTTAGAATAACCTATCTCCCACATTATAATGATATTTTTCATATTCACGTTGATCTCGTCACCCGGGACGATGGAGCAACGCGAAATTTCACTTTGTTGCTCTTCCCCTCCCACTATCTCTCAACTTTAAAAATATGGTTGCATTAAAATGATCTCTGATGCAATGCAAAACCGTCTCGACATATCATAGTGTGTTTTGAATGATATACAAGCTGTCATTTTTGCATATATGACTTTCAGACAGCCAAGATAACTGCTTTTGAATTAAGATCGTAGAATATTCTATTGGCACTTTAATTATAACGTAAAGAGTTCAGAATTATATTGGTGTCGCTTTCACTTTTACTTACTATTACTTTTTTATTTTTAAATTAATGATAAAAAAGTTTATAGCATTCATTTTATTTATGTTGCAGCATAAGTTAAAATTTTCACAAAGGGACAAAGTGAAAAAATTTATAACATTTACACAAACTGGAGAGCAAACTGCGATATATTGTTTAGCCCAAAATGATTGGAAACTGGATCTCGCTAGTGATAATTACTTCCAAAATCCAGAAGCTTATTATAAAGAACCGAAAAATTCTGTTGACAAAAAGAAATTGGAAATATTGTATAGCAAATACCAAGGTATATATGATATATTAGTAAGAATTCATTAGTCTATTATTTATATGTTTAATGTTAATAAATAAATTATAATTATTATCTTACAGATCCAAGTGAACCTAATAAAATTACTGCGGATGGTATCATGAAATTTCTTGATGACTTGAATCTAAGTCCTGAGAGTAAATTAGTTCTAATCATTGCGTGGAAATTTCGTGCCGAAACACAATGTGAATTCACTAAAGAAGAGTTTATGAATGGAATGGTGGACTTGGGGTAAATATTAACTTCTTTGATATACGTCTGTGAAGGTTGAATAAAAAAGAAATGTGCTGTGAATGTGCGTTACATTTTTCATCGTCAGACATGTGTATACAAATATAACTATTTTCATAATTATTTTCAGTGTGGATAGTATAGATAAGCTAAAAGCGCGATTAGGTAGTTTAGAAAATGATTTAAGGGATCCTCTAAAATTCAAGGATTTTTATCATTTTACATTTAATTATGCAAAAAATGCGGGACAGAAAGGCTTAGATTTGGATATGGCAATTGCATATTGGAATATTGTATTAGATGATAAATTTAAATTTCTTCAATTATGGTGTCAATTCTTACAGGTGAGTAAATTTTGGATGTTGCTTTTGAATTTACTTTTTTGGCAAGTTATTTTAAAATAATAAACTGATGTATTCTAGGAACATCATAAAAGATCAATTCCAAAAGACACATGGAACTTATTATTAGACTTTGCACTTATGATCAATTCGGACATGAGTAATTATGATGAAGAAGGTGCCTGGCCTGTGTTAATCGATGATTTTGTAGAATGGGCACAACCTCGAGTTCGTCAGTCTCTCTAACGATTTTCTTTTTTTTTGCAACATTCTCGCACATGATAACTTTATTCGTTTACAAAAGATATATTTTTAAAATTATTTTGTGAAATATTTTTTTCCAATGACGACTTTGTTTTACTTTTTAAAATTGATTAGAGACAAATTAATGCACATAATATAATGAATCATAGTATATACCATATAGCATCTTGTAATATGCATTCTCAACAATTTACAATATATCGCTTCAGTAGACAATACAATTTCATTTGCTAAAATATGTAAAGAGAGAAAGTCTTGAGTGTTTGTTTAAAAAAATAATAGTTATTTCCTTTTATTTATTAAGTTCAAGTTGTGTGAAATCTACTAACCACTAGATACTTGTACAATAATTTAATTACAACTTTTGTTTTATCTTCAAAGAGAAAAAAGCATTGCCTTGAAATTGATCATATTGTACAAAAGTAATATATGTGTGAGATGTTTATTTACATGTGGGAATGTAACAGAAAGTTGCTCAACTACCATCGGTAGTATTTGCAAGCAATTAAAAAACTCGACGTTTTTTTGAAATATGTCGGAAGCAAAATTGAAAGAGAAATTAGTCCATACGTTCCTGTAGATAGTAATTTCTAGAAATTGCGTTGTTGAAGAAATTGTTATTAAATAAATTCTACGATACTCTATTACACGACACTTAGAATGTATATAAAAACATAAAGAGAAAGAAATCTGTATTTTAGACATTATACTATTTCGGCATCATTCTATTTATTTTTTTATATTCAATCAGATTATAACGATGAGAAGATAAAGAGAAATTTGTTTCTCATATGTACATTAGAAGAAAGATTACTTGTATACAATATACTTATGAAACTTTATATAACATTGTTCTAAAGACAAAATATAATTTTTTTTATAAACTTAATATAATAGTTTTCATTTTCAATTATATAGTATAAGTTCATTTATGGAATTCTTATATAAAAAATCATTTGTGATGTTCTTTACAGATTTGATTCTCTTAACAAGTTTATCGTAGGCATTTTGTATGTTAAATATTATCCCTTGTAACTACATTCTATAAAAATTTAGCGCAGCAATATATTTAGATTTTTATCTACACAAAATATGTGGAGATTATAAAGACATAATGTAAAAATTATTTATTATCGTAAATTGAACAATAAAATATATAAACAAAATTGTGAAACGAAAACTTTGGAATATAAAATTATCTCGTCCACGCGTTTTTGATTAAATTTTATAAATATAAAATAAAAATAGACAAAAGGAGAAAAATCTCAATAAATATATAAAGCAGTATAAACTTATTATTGTATGTAGTTACATATCGCCAGGGATATACGTTTGCACAATGCTAAACTCAAAATAGAATATATTATTATTCGAAAATAAGGAAATTTATATTCGAATATTATTTTCGGATATAATTTTCCTTAATAGTTTCAACATCGTGCAGACAATACATTGTTTTACCAGCCTTAGGAGAAACAGAAAGTAAATTGTACATAATGTAAATAAATATATCAATCTATTCAGTGCGTCTCTGTTTAAATAAACTGCTGAATAAATATACACCATATTTCGTGTATATTATCTCTATGTGTTTAAATGAATATTAAATAAAAAGTTCTGCTAAAAGTCCACAATTATATTTCGTGTGTGTATTATTTATTATAAGTTAAAAAAAAATAATTTATTTTCTAAATTTATAATCGGCAAGAAATATAATTATTAATAAAACGTCAGTATTTAGTTATAAAAATGATTACATTTTACAAGATTTTTTACATTCGCATAAAATTCTATTATGGCCATTGCATTGTGCATTGGAATATAAGAAAGCTAATTCATATTTATTAGCATGTATATTGTAACAATTTTTTAATACATCCTGAATATACCAATTGCATAATGATTCCAATCTATCGATAGTTGTCTGCATCATATATTTTTTTTTTCAATTATTAAAAGAAACATAACATTTGTATTTACATTGTATCCTTTAATATTCATTAAAGTCTAAAATTTACTTACCTGAGCTATGACTAATCCATGATTTGAATTGTCAGTAGTGTGACTGTGCGAATCAAACAAAGTGACCTATGAATAAAACTTGGGTCTTATTTGTACAGGATGATCATTAATTATATGTGTCAACATTTTAAAAAGTAAATCTAGTTGAAAACAAAAAATGTGCTATATGTGATTATTTATTTAGACGATCACCAACTAAGATATGGATATATAATTAAGACTACTATGTAATTGATTTCTATTGATTATAGCTACACGTGTGCTTACCTTACTTGTAGTTTCTTGAAATATAAATAATATAGTACGTCCACATGTGATAAGCAGCATAAACAGAGTGTGACATTTTGGATTTTTATACCAGTCATGTAAAAATATGTTTATATTTTTGTATAGGCTTGTTTCTATCTCTTCATGAAAGATATTGAATTTCTGAGGAAGTTATTATGTATATATTATTCAAGTGTAAGATGTATATATTCAAAAATTTTTCTATTGGTTCAGAAATATAAGTTGAATAAGAAATCAATAATTTTTTAATTGAATATTAATAAACTTACAGTATACAGTTACACACACATACACACACGCGCGCGCACGCACACACACACACACACACACACACACACACACACACACATGTATATGTATGTCTATTAGGATATAATTCATATTAAATATTCCTATCATACCCATTCTTTTAATATATTTAAGCTCTTGCCCCCATGTTTTAAAGCATCTTCAGTATTCAAATACGGATGTGATATAAGCCTTTTCTTAATAAGCCACGCATGAATAGTGTTACCCTCAATTATCGCCTCTGCCACAATAATATTTAATCTCAGGCAGTTTTCTATATCATAAATCGATACATTTCCTCTTAAGATTCGTACAGCCACAAGTAAACATATAAGTGTACAGGCTTCACTTACTGGGGATTATTCAATAAAAAAGTGTTATTGATAGTGTGATATATGAGAGTATACAGATATTCTCAATTTGATATAAGTAACAAAGTATAATTACGTTTTTGTCCTGGTGGATAACGGCTTTGTGTAAATTCAGGTTGATACCATAATATATCTACTTCGTTATTAAAACAGTTTTTCATGTATGACGGAAAGTGACAGCTAAATAGTGGTGGTAAAGTCATAATTACAAAAATATTTTTTATTCCATATGTTTCTCATTACTTATTAATTTTGTTACCAAATACATCTCTTTGTGATTCATATTTATTTCTTTCCAAAAAAGTTTAATGTATATATATATATATATATATATATATATATATACATATATAAGTCAAGACATTTTGGATGCCAAATTTTGTATAATAATTGGGTTATAATTGTATGAAAAATAGCTGCATTCATTAGATACAAATTAATTGTTTCGTTTCAAGCAATTGAATTAATCAATTTAAGTTATGTTCCGCTACAGTACTGAAAATCTATAGTTCATGTTATGTATAATATTATAGATATTCAAATATTGATAATGTGTATGTATAAAAAAACTGATTTACTGCCTTAATGAATCGGAAAATCATTTTGGAGAAGGAAAAAATGAAGAAGAAGACGAATAGAACGCGTAATGTATAACACGGCTTTTAAAAAGTATAATTTATATTGTTCTTAAAATAATAATTTACTAAAAATAACTTTTGTAATGATTTTGTTGCCGAAATAATTGCACAATTGAGAAAAGCGATACAGCTTTTTTAATATATTGTACTTTACAATCTATATTTTCAGAACATATTTCCAGCTTACTTAATAAGAGAATAAATGAGAGCGAGAGAAAGTTATTATTTGATATTTATTATATTTTATAACAAAACACATTTTATTAATTGAATTTCTTTTTAATGACATTTCTTGCAGTGACATATTGATTATTGATCGATAATTTTAAAACATGATTTTCTTTAAAGCGATATAAATTTCATCATTTTATTCTTTTATAAAAAGCATATTGTTCCTATGAATAATTCTTTTAGCATTTAGCATTTAAAAAGAATGTATGAAATTCAGTTTCAAATATATGCATATGCGAATGTATGTATTATCATAAAAAGTATGTGATAATATATTTTTAATGAGATAAGATATAAAAGCGTCTGTGCTACACGTGTAAATAATATGACTTTACAATTATGAAACTAATAATCTATTCAAGATTAGTCAATGTGTTATATGTCCAAGATAACACAAAAATGGAAGTATATTCCATGAATATAAAAACAAAAAACATATTTATATATTTACATATAGGCTACGTTCTGTTATTCTACGAGTAGTGAAAAATCTATGGTATACGTAATATAATAGATTTCCAGTACTTGTAATGAATAACGTAGCCATAATTTATTGTAAAAATAGAAATATGATAAAAATCAAATGAGGTACATTGCATTATAATAGAAACTGATACACGATGTTAGCTAAAAATTTAAATTTCTAAATTGACACATTGTAAAATGCAATATTAAAAATATATTTCAAATTAAGTACTCATTCAAATTAAAGCCTTCTCGTCAATTTTTCTTTTATAATATTAATAGCATATTAATTTTTGCGAATAAAATATTTTACCATTCTTATATTTACTTTTTATAAAATTTTCATCAAATTTGTTTTCTATTTTCAATAAAAATTTGTCAGTTTTTTAAGCAAATCATATGCGTGCTATGAATATGATTTATTTTAAGTCAGTTCAGCACTGCAATTATCTTCTAAATCGTTAGTTTATTATGAATAAATTTATATTTTTCTAAATGTATATTACACCTGACTTCTGTTTCAAATAAACGTTTTGTCTTTTATATTTGTCACTGTTATTACAAAGATGTGAAAATCGTTTTCATAAATCTTCTATATCATATTTTCGCACATTGGATTCATTAATCTGAAAGCAACATATAAGTTTTGTTTATTATATAGTATTCTATAAAAAACGTCCAATTAAACTTTCTTCAAGTTTTAATCAAATAATCATATAAATATATTGTAAAGAACGGTAATGATTAAAAAAATGCTATTTATAATTTATAAAGTTTATTGTTATCTATTTTTTTAATTTAAAATTAAAATAAACAGTACTCACCAGTGATCAGAATGATCTATATGTAGCTGGGTAACGTGTTGGTATACTTGTGGTAAGAAGACGTGACCAATGTTCCCATCCCAGAAGCTTTGCAATTTCAATGCATTTTTCATCAATTTCTTTTAATTGTTTTTCTTCATAATAGCGTGTCAATAATTTCAAATAACGTCCATAATGATTATTGATGTGTGCATGCCATAGAGATAAAATAACAACCTAAAGAAGATATAGAAATAGATTATCTATCTTATTTATCATTTTATAATGTACTTATTAATTATCTAACGTTTATTCGAGTGGATGTATACAAGATGTTTCTAAATAAGTATGAAAAATTTTAAATGATACTTTGTCGAAAATTAAGAAAGATTTTTTTATATAAACATGTACTCTTATATATATATCTCTGAGGAGTTACACTCCTTTAAAGGAGGAAGTAAAAATTAAGTTTTTTTTTATTAATAAGTCCTTTTTACTAGAGAAAAATGTTCATTAAATTTCATTTTTCTAACTTTATCTTTCGTTCAAAATTTAACAAAACATAAAAACTTAATTTTTATCCTTTGAAGAAGGGGAAGATTAAAAATTAAATGTGTACTTCTAATCTCTTCTATAAGGATAATATATTACTTTTGTGTATTTTAAAAGATGGATTTAAAAATAATAATATTATTTTTACCTTATTGTCAGTAGGTTCAGCGAATTTCTGTACTTCTTGCCAATGATGTGTAACACTTTCAAGCAAATGTTCGAAGGATCCATCTCCTTCTCCAGTTTTTGTTCCATGTACATACAATCGTGCCAATGCACACCCTTTTCTCACTAATCCTTCAATCAAACTGTTTTTTTGCTTCTCCATAGTTACTTTGATTTTAGCCGCATCAGGACGCTGATCGTTTTTCAATCCATAATATGCTAATAACTTATCTTGATCAATATTAGTGATCACAGAGTCAGCAACTGTTATTATTTGATTAGCAAACGCAATAGCGTTTTCTGAAAGATCATTTTGTGGTACATGTCGCCGTGCCTCCGAAGAATCCAACGATATCAACATGGCAGTGTGGACAGGCAAATGATCTGAGAAGGCACCCTTCAATTCTCCGTACAATGTATTGGTGTGATCACCAGGTTCTGTTACAAACAAGAACAGAATTCATTAGTATTAATTCGTAAAAATAAATTTTCAATTAATAATGTATAATATATAATAAATGTCATATATATTAAAGATCACGTTTGCATACATGTAGATATTCATGTTAGATTTTTTTATATTATATGATAACAAATGTCAGTGTTCTCAAATAAATTATGTATGCTGTTAATGTAAATAGTTTGTTTTATTATAAACATAGTAAAAGGATAAAAAGTAATCATGGATACATATTTAACATATAAATATTTGTAGAAAGTTAAATAAATGCAACAATTGCAATTACATGCTTGAAAGAATACATGTATCTTATATGGATATAAAAAAGAACATAAATATTATGGAGAAAAATACATAAATGTTCACATTTTAAATTCAATCCAACTTACTTATTGATGGTGCTAATTGATGGAATATAAACCGGAAAAAAAGATAAAAAATATATATATGATAGTACTAAACTAAATAATATTAAATTACTCTAAATTTATATTTATTATATATCTAAACATTACAATATCTAAATGATTACCAAATTTAGCAAGGTAATTGCATTTTAAATCTCTTAATGCTTCCTGATATTCATCCCACTTTGTAGTTTTCTCTTTCTCAGATTTAGCAGTAGGGCTGACATTTTTCTTGGCAGGCTCAGATATGATATATTTAAATACGTGACTATCCACCTTCTTCCCAATATCATCTTTACAGAAAGTCAATGTACCTTGAAGATAACTACCAGGGGTAGCGTATTTGGATACTCTTTGTAAAAAGAAAAGAAAAATATATAATGTATATCAAGTAATTAAAATTATATATTTTAATAATAAATATAGCAGTTTCTGTTATTTTATTTTTGTTATATGTATTACATGCTGAAGCTAAATAGAATGAAAGAAAATAGAATACTGTAAGAAGAGCGTAATAGTGATAATATATATAACAGAATATAATCTCGCAGAGAAATAATACACTCCATTCATATCAAATGTACTAATACATTACATTAGCAAACAAAAGCATAATTTATACATGTAAAAAGTCAAATCATTTCTTGTGGAATCAAATATTCGCAAGTAATAAAAGTTGACAATCAAATTTGAAGAAACAATTATATAAATATAGATATGAAATCTCTATGAAGAAACTTTTTTAATTTGCAACATTTTTGAAAAACAGTAACGTCAAACTAATTGAAAGTAGAAAAAGCAATAGTTTTTAATATATACGTAGGCAAATTTTTTTATAAAACTTATTTATATTAACTATATAAGTTTGATTACGTGTATTGTTTGTAATAAACATAGATCAGAATTGACATTATTTATCCAATATATGTTGATGTATCTGCTTTAACTAAGAATGAAAAAGGAATAAAAATTTGCCTATGTAAAATTGCCTTTTTTAAATGTACCTTTTCTTGCAATAAGTAATATCTTGATATTGTATCTTATATGCAATATCTTGATTAAAGACAGACATAAGCATGCATTTAAAAATATGTTGTCATATAACTGAATAGCAAATGTCCTTGATTTTATTATAAAGCTTTCAAAGTATGTATAAAATTGTATTATAAACTCACTTGTTTTCAGTGCTGCAATGTAAGATGAAAAAAAAATTATCTTAATAGCATTTCAGCACTAAATAATATATTATATTATCAAATATCTCCAAATAAATGTCACAGAATTTACAGGTATGTATAAATTTTTTAATCAATTTGACATCAATGTTTTTTTAACGAAAACGCACTCACGCGCGCACATATGTGTGCGCGCGCGCGCGTGTGTGTGTGTGTGTGTGTGTGTGTGTGTATGTACAATTTTTCTTATTTACAATTTGATTTATAAGCAATAGAAAATAAAAAACTTTATAGGAATTGAGTTTCAAAACGGAAAATTAAAATTATATTACTTATACAAATTTCGTTTTAA